CTCACATACACACACACACACACACGCACACACACACACACGCATACACACACACGCGCGCACACACACACATACACACACACACACACACACACCATATTGTACAGACATTATAACCAATGGTGGCGAGTGGTGTATGAGATTATCCTTGTAGTTAGTTTGTTATGGTGAATTCTCCACGCTGACTTGCAGAAAGTTCTTGTTTTGATGCTCAACTCTTCGGACAGACACACAATAGCACTTACGCGCACACATATGTACACACACATGCTGAGAATTAAGTACTGTTTTTACTATAAATATAATATACAGCGGCAAGAATTTTGCCGAAAAGTGATCAGTTTTTTTTGTTGGTTTAAAATTTTTAAATTTTTTTTAAACAAAATCTTTTGTCCATTCATATTGAAAGAGAGAAACGGAGAGAGAGAGAAACGGAGAGAAAGAGAGAGAGTGTACGCTTTGTAACTCTTTATATTTATTTTATAGCATAATTTATCGGGATTTTTTCATATCTCCACACAATGTTCATCTATTGTATATATATATAACTTGTTCTGATGAGTATTTTTATTTGGAAATTCTTTTTATCGTCTATATCTACGTAACAACAGGGCCTACCAGAGATAGAGGGTTGATGAATCTCCTGTAAAATACTTTTTTTGATACTCCATTCCTTACTACCTTTGTTCTCGCTCCGGCCCAGCTTCGAACAATGACCCAGTTTCTGGACGGATCGGTGTTGTGTCTCTGGTGTTTCGGCTTGTTCTTCGTGTTTTGGTTTGCGCAACTGCTGCTGTTGTCTCAGTTGTTGACTCTGTGTTAGTGTTACTGAAGAAGCAACTCTATGACTCTGCGCAAGAAGGGGTTGAGGTTTTCACTTCACTCTGAGGCGTGCGTGCACTCCGTCCGTTAGGTTCAGTTGAAATATCTCGGAATGCCCCCCCCCCCCATTCTGATTCTGTAAAGATTGTTGAGTTTTTGGGGTTTTTTTCCTCATGTTCATGGGAAAGAAGACAGTCTTCTTCTCCTTCTTTTTTCTTACCTTCCCCGTCATCCGTCTCTTCTTTTTTTTCCCTTCCCCTCTTCCTCCTCCGTCTCTTCTTCTTCTAATTTCGTATACACCCTTGCTAGAGTTTGAGGGGAGGGTGTATGGTCTTCATCTCACAGTGTAGTTGGTTTTTATATATATACATGGCAGTTTTATTTTTGTAGATCACAGGTGCCAGACTGAAATTATGAACAAAAACGTGATGTTAAAAAGC